TGGAGTTCAGGACAACTGATCCCAGATGTTTTAACTGCTTGTTTTGGTTGATTCATCAGGAAACAAAAAAAATAAGCATCAAGGTAAATTAGTGTTCCCTTAGAGGTATTTGAGAATAATTCTGTTTTATTAACAGTTCACATTAACACAGCATTAAATAAAAAATAAAACATTAACTTTTAATAATTTAGGTTCAATTCTAACTACATTATTTACATTTTAAATATTGTTATTGTCTTCGCTAGATATTAGCTATTTTGGCTAACTCTAATCTATTTTTGATTAACCATTGCTTTTCTTTACTGTTTTATGTGCAACTCTTAAGGTGTTTTTGTGCTAACCCTTGGGTAACGTTTGTCATATTATAGTCACTTACTTTTAGCTACATCAAGCCAGAAAACAGAACTAAGAGTTCTAGTTGTGTTTTGGAGCAATTTAGCTATTTTCACTAAAACTTTATCTGTCATTTATCAAACTAGATTGTTTCTCGCTTATAGGTGCAGTATTTTAGTGTATAACCTTTAGTATCATTTAATTCCTTCCTGTACTGATTGGTAACTGTACTTTTCTTTTTATATCATTTTTTTAACTTGAAAATGATATAAATTTATAAATATAAAATGGGCTAACAAAGCTTTTTTGCTGTGTTTTTGCCTCAATGTTGCTATTGTTGTTTGTTCTTTATGCTCCCTCTCACCAAATCTGGAATATTTACTCTATCTATTTACTATGCACAGTTATTAATATACTTATATTACATAACATAATTTTGCATCTTTTTTAGATCTTCTGATCTTCTATGTGATATTATTCTTAGTTTGAATGTGATTGTCTGGTGTTTCCTCGCAAAATGTGATATTATTCTTAGTGTGAATGTGATTGTCTGGTGTTTCCTCGCTCTAGTGCTGATTGACGGTGTGGAGTGGAACGATGTCAAGTTTTTCCAGCTGGCAGCTCAGTGGTCGTCACACGTCAAACATTTCCCCATCGGGATCTTTGGACACACGAAAGGCCCGTATTAGCAGCACCTAAGAGACCCAAACCTTGAGGACAGCGCCCCCATTGGTGTCCCATCTCCCTGGTGCCAACACATTTTAACCCCGTCCTCCTCACCTTTTCCTCCAGCACACTTTTATCCTGCTGTCTTAATTTAAGCTCCTGCTTTCCTTCACTGGGTTGTCCTTCGGCATTTGTCCTTTTATTTAATCTAATGCTTGTTTTTTTATTTTCTATTTATGTAAAAATGTCTCAAGGCGAAGCTGTCGAAAATATTTCTTTACTCTGCTTTTTAAAAGGAAAATCCTGCTGATGTTTTATAGACTTTTGAGGGGGGAAAAAAGCATAATTGATTTCTAACCTTCGACCTAGAGTAGGAGTGCCCGGTTTGAATCTGTCGTCTTTTTCTCTCAATCTGTAAAGTTAATTTCCAGCACTTGGACGACAGGATTATTCAAGAACATATGGGAAAAACAACAAGAACAGATTTATTTTCTAACCACGATGAAGAATTTTACAGTGATCAACGCCCCAGAAGAATAAAACAAATTCAACGGCCCCTGACCTTTGAACCTCTGCACTATGTGAAGAAATCTGATGTGCAATAGACTGAAAACTGTGTGAAATACATGAACCTGGACGTTAACTTGTACTGGCCCTCTACTGGAGGTTTGGATGATTACAACAGTAATCCTGATCTTTGTTTTATTGTTTACTCCGGGTGAAAAGGTGTGAGGTTTGAGGATCAGTGGTTAGTGTTTTTACCAGTGTTGCACAGAAAAAAAACACACAAAACGTATTTCTACATGCAGGCAATGATCGATTCCAGCACAACAGCATTCAGTATTCAGTCTGACACACTCACTGCACCAACTGCAGTGACCTGAAGTAACTACCGCACCTCTGATCAGAGCGGAGAGCTCGTTGTTGTGCTCTCAGTAGGCAAGCAGTTTGAACCAATTTGAATCAGTGATCAATGTTTCTGGTCTATTGAAAACAGTCGGGTTGATGTTGTCCAGAAAAATCAAACATGATCTTTCAAGGTGCCAATGAAAAGAGGTCAGAGAGACACACGTGGCTGCAGAGACAAAAAGGTTAAAAACACAAATTTTGGTGCTAAATACTAAGACCTTCAACTTCGCTGCTGTTCTTCTGTCACACATTTCCTCCTCATCTCCTCCTACTCCGTCCTGCCCACACCTTTTCTTCACCTCTTTTGTAAACTGTCAGTTACTCCTGTATTTATAAGTATTTAGACCCATCCTCTTGATGTACCTCTACTCCTCGCTGCTTTATCTTCACACTTCCCTCAGTCTCGTTTACACACATGAATTCCGTGTAAAACTAACGCATTAACAGTGGGGAAAAAAGCTCAAATTGAAAATGATCAATGTTGTGTTTTAACACATGGGCAGAACGACAGTCACTGTGTGTCCAATAATTCCACCGTCCGTCCACTAATCGTTTTCATACACAGCTACAAACACTACAAACAGTAGGTCAGGTTTATCTTCATATTTTTTATATATCAATAATTCCATTAGTCAAAAACATGTGTGTAACACATACACCTCCCTGCTGTTGATTTCTCTTTCTGTTCTGATCAATCTTCTTCCCTGTGATTAATCAGAGTCCTCCTGCTGACACCTGATCCCTGCTCTCACCTTGGATTAGTTCCTGATTTCCGTATCTAGGTTTATGATAAGCAGAAAGAAAAAAATATAAATATATTCTTATATTGGTTTCCCTGAATATAAAATGTAAATGTAAGAAAACTTGTTCCTCCTCAAGCCTCACACTCTCCTCCCCCCTCATCCTCCTCTCCCCCACCACCACACTCCTTATCTTCTGTACCAAGCAACCCAATGTTGATATTCACCGGCTGCAGCTCCGGCGTTATCACTTCTACTGTGTGGTATTTTAGGCGACTTTGTAATGTACGTAGAGGTGAATGTACTGAAGGTACCTTAATGTAAAGCACTTTTCAATGTTTGTCCATTTTTAGACTCTAGTGTTGTTCAAACGCCCTCCTGGAAACTTGCAGGTTGGATCAACGTGTGGTTCACGGAGGCACAGACTTACAGTGGAGACACTGGCTGTACCTGTAGTCATGATGTCACCAGGTCATCTGGACCCTCTCAGTTCTGGTCAGTGACGGCCCTGCGCTCACAGGGCAGCCTCCTTGAGCCGTGTTAGATTTTAGTTGAGTTCAAAAGTGTATGTGATGTTAACCTTTTACAAACTGTTTTCTCTGTAGTTTTCGCTTCAGTTTTAATATCTGGCGTGAGCCGAGCAGTATTTTACATTTGAATTATCATTGAGTAGCAGTTTTATCATCATAACCTTTGCCAATTTCTTAATAAGTGCCTAAATTGCTTAAGTTTGACACATCAAATTGAATGAATAAAAAAATATCCCTGGCTAATGTGGTGTTGATGCAGCAACATTTGCAAGAGCAGTGATTTGTAGTCAAATCTGTCAGTGGAAAAAGTACAAGAAAAAAAAGAAAAGAAAATCACACACTGAGCAGTTGATGCTCAGATACAGTTTTGAATGATTAAAATCAACACCTGAGTTAAGACTTCAGTCCAAACGTCCATGTTTTTCTCTGCAGAGACAACGTTCTTAGATGTATTTTTGTTTTGTATGTCTGTCTCAGAGAAAGGTTTGTTTCCACTGAAAGATCCCCAGGAGGAGACTACCACTGTCGTCCCATAAACCGGGAGTAATAAAAGTACTACACACACTAAAGTCTTGTCCTCTTTTTATGGGTGTGGGAGGTGAAGTCAGTAATGATTGGAGCAGAGATCAGAACTGTAAAAAAGATTTGATGAAAAAAATCAACCATTTTAAACCAGAAGGACTGAAAAAAAAATCTTAAAGGTCCTCAAGGTCAAAATACAGACTAAAATGAAATGCCAATTCCATTTTGATGAAATATAAATAAATACTCAATCCAACATATACATCGAGGAGTTTAAAAAAAACCTTTATAATATGTACCGTACACACAAAGGACCGCGGTTAATCAATGATCTCGGGAAATCACTCTAGGCTCTCGCTGACGGCAGAGTATTGATCAGTGAACCGCTTCAAAAGTGAAAGTTCTGCAAATGTTCTCACAAAAAACAGCCTCCTTTCCCAAGTTCACTGTCTGCAAATGGGCTGTGGACCACCATATAAACCCAAGCTTTACATGACCAGCATGGACAAGTCCCAGTCAGAGACCTTTGTACCGACTGAGATGTGCTCTACGACTTCTTTAATGACTCCTCAGAGTAATACTAGTTGGGTTTTTTATTATTATTTTTTATTGTTTTCTATTATTTCTGAGGCCTCAGTAATCACACTAATATAATTCTATACGTTCTCTACATGAGCTCCACACAAACCCCTCTTTTTATATTCTATTACAATGCTTCTTAAACTATGGTATGTGTTCCGATGGTGGGCTTCTAGTCCCCTCTAGTGGCATGTTGGGGAATTTGATTTTGTTTCTTTAGCTAAAGAGTGCAAGTACATACAGTAAGTACGTGTCTACGTGTTCCTTTTTTCTTATAATTAAATTACCAGTTGTAGTAGTTTGTGTGCATAATCGGAGAGTTTTCTTCTTCACATACTGTTTGAACAGAGTACGTATGAGGTGCAGTATTCTATTGTTGGTCAGCCTACAGAAGTTTTCTTTTGACTTTTTATTCTTATCTGTATGATTTTCTCTGTGACTTTACATAAAGTCCCTTTATGTGTTCTGTAATTCCTTTAATATTTTCGATACGGTCTGTGGCTTGTGTTATTGTCAGGGTGCGGTTTATAGTTGGTTCTTGTCGATGCTGGCGACCTCAAAAGTATTTTTTCTAAGTTGTAGAACTAAAAGCATTTTATGACTATTCATTTTTTTAAACATAGAGAGGTAAATCTTTAAGTTGTAAAACTAGAAGCATTTTATGACTATTCATTTTTAAACATAGAGAGGTAAATCTTTATTATGTGGTCGTATGAAAATAATGAATTGTGCTTTTTTTTAACCAAATAACAGTGAGATGATGCTGAATCCTGGCTGACACAGTTGGAGTGAGGTGATGCTGGCCTGGGTGACAGACAGGGGGAGAGAGAGAGACAGAACCTGGGCCGGAGCAGGAAGCTGCCGCTGCTGGGACTGTGGACACTGTGGGACACAGGAGCCACGGAACTACGTCGAGGGATTCAACATAATGTAGACCCAGTCGTGTGCAACATTCAGCGGAAAACAGGGGCAGCTGCGGAAGGCTGTTGCGAGCCCGGATAATTCTGCTTAATTTGAGTTCGTTTGATAGAGGAAAATGAAGGAGCTGAAGGGCTGCGGTATGCGCTCCTCGGTGGGCTTTCTGTCCCGCAGAGAGCTCATGGGGCAGCCGCTCATGAAGGAAGAATTCCAGAGGCGCAGGTTTTCCGGCTGCACGAGCCTCTTCAAGAAGGACATGCTCGGACACTTCGGCTGCGTCAACGCCATTGAGTTCTCAAACAACGGCGGAGAATGGCTGGTGTCTGGTAAGTTGACAAATCCACCCCTTCCCTCAGCTTAACACTGTTTTAGATTGTTATAGCATGTTAGCATGCTAACGTGCTACTTAGCTCAGCCAGTCAATACAGTGCTGGCTAAATGCTAAACGAATGCTAAATTAGCTTAGCGAACAAGCTTACGTCAAACGGAACAATCTCCTGCAGCAACAACAGCAGCAGTGGTACCAGCCATCGTAGTGGCAGTACTTGCAGTAATGGCAGTAGTAATTAAGGCCGCAAGATAAACAGAACATTTTGCGACATTTTATAACTGTATTGTATTTTGTCAGTATAACGTGACGTACTTTAAATGAACTAATTTATGGATATATCATGTACCTTTCTTCATAGCAGCACAAATCTAGACCCCGAGTAAAATTAAACTCCTGTTTAACCGAAGAAAATTGAAAATGTTAAATTATAATTATTATAATATAATTATTATATTATAAATTATTTTTTATTGTAAAAAATATTTTATTTAAATAATCATCTTTTATACCCCTAGTGTATGTAGAGGAATTCAATTTATCTGAAATCTGTGTATTACTTAAATCACTTGTTAATTTAATTATATAGTTTAGTCTTATGTGGCAAATAGTGGGTAGTGGTCCAGAGTAGGGTGAATGGGATTAATAGGGGTCATATGGAAAACACTTTCCATACCAGTTTTGTTCGGTCAAACAACAAGATATTCGTAGTTTTTTTGTTGTTGTTGTTGTGGTTTCTCTGTTGACATAGCTGTTTGAAATTAAATGACCATGTTTTTTATGTTGTAAGAAAAAAAGAGATGGAGCTAGAACCAAACCTGTTGCAAAGCCTCATAGTGTCTTCCTATCCACCAACATCTTATGTCCTTAAATTATCAGTTGAATCTACATTAAACCTTTAGACTAACTCCAGTCCAACTAATTACCACCAAACCTCCCCTCTTTTCAGAGGTTAGATGAATAGACTGTGTTTTCTGACAAGAGTTTAACCATAAAAGTAAAGGTTAATGTGGGGTCTAAATGATGACATAATTGTAAAAAGACAACTTTAACATGTTAAATATAGTAAATGTTAATGTGGGGTATAAATGATGACATAATTGTAAAAAAAGACAACTTTAACATGTTAAATATTCAACGTACCTTGCTCTGATTTGAAAATAATTTGTGTCTGTTTATCAACTTTGTGACTTACCTTCTGAGATAAAAACTAAAATTCATTAGTTGTACACTATTTTATTTTATTTTCTTCAGGACATAATTAAGTTTAAAAACATGTATGTGGTCATGACCTTGACCTATAAACACAGAACATGTAAACAGTAATCATGTGTGCAATTAGTAGTAGTATTTCTCTAAATGCAATGCAGCTTATATAAATTCAGAATATTATTATATGCTTTCACCTCTGTATGTAAGTACACATAAAGAGAAAAACATGACGTGAGTACGATGTTGGATCAGTAACTACAGGTAGGTATTGTTAATAATTAACATTGGTTGATAATCTGAAGAGACTCAAATGGACCGTCTCTGTTCATGCATCGGTGTTTACGCATATGTGTGTGAGTGTGTGACCCAAGCTAAAAATATCTTAGAACTTGAAGTGATCGGGAAGAAAAAGAAAACTCTTAGCTGGCTCCAGGCTGTGACATCTGGTATAAGGGCAGCCCTGGGGGGCAGGGTGGCTAAATATTGACTAAGCACTTGTCATTTTGTACATTATATTGAAGATTTTCTTTTTAGGCCAAATGCTGTTCTTCATCGTTTCTTCCACATTTAAAAAATCATCACAAAATTCCTCACATGAATATTTTGATGATCTCCATAGTAGTAGTATTAGTAGAGTATGGTGTTCTTTGGAGGCTATTCCCTTCTTTCTCCAAAAATTGATAGGTTTCTGTTGGAGGCTATTCCTTTCTTTCTCCAAAAATTGATAGGTTTCTCAATACAAAAATAGTTGAGTTAAGTCACAGTTCCTTCCAGTCTTCCTTCTTAAGATTGTCCTCAGCAGACTTTAGTCTGGTCTTGGAAAAGTTAGCTTTTTATTGGCCCCCAACTTCACAGTCCATCACTACTGTACTTTATTTTTACTGGGGATGGCTTTGACTTTTTCATATCTGATACTGCAACTTTACAAAGTATTTGCATTAATCTACACATCATTGTATTTAGCTTTTTATGCACACAAACTACAATTTAAGGTTCTCTTTTGTAACTCAAAGATATCTTTGTATCTATCTATATCTTCAGTTTTAGTTCAAGAGAAAAAAAATCCCCCAAGAACGCAGCTTTTAAAAAAACCACAGGAACATCAGGAGGAAAAGTAGTAGCCAAACAGAAAGGCAACCTATCATTACAACATTGAACCATTTGGTGGAGTGAATTTTAGGTTGTTTTTTTTTTCTATAAATTTATGTATAATCCATCCTGGTCTGCAGGAGGAGACGACCGCCGTGTTCTCCTCTGGCACATGGAAAAAGCCATTCATGCTCGCTCCAAACCTGTGAAGCTGAAGGGTGAGCATCTGTCCAACATCTTCTGCCTGGCCTTCGACAGCACCAACAAGAAGGTCTTCTCTGGAGGTAGGTGCAAGCATAGGTTATCACAAAAATAAAGAAGATAAACGTTGACATTGTTTTGACACATTTTATCCATCAAGTGTACTTATCTTCCCTTTTGTCCTGAATGATTATTCACTTTCACTTTCCTCATTTAAACTTTGGTTTTGGTTCTGGCTCACTGGGTAATAACATCAACAAGAAATATTTGGCCTGCAGCCAAACGTCAGTGCCATCCTTGGAGTTTGCCGTTAGTGTGAAGGGTGTGAGGAGGTTGTGTTCGTTATAAATAGTGTGTAGAAATATTGAATAAAGGATGTTTAATCTAGAGCAGCCGTGCAGAGACAAAGGAGACTCTAAAGATTGATGGATGTAGTGAAAGAGAACATGGAGATGGTTTTTGTTTGGTCAGGAAGATGGGCATACAATGAAGTAGATGTAGACGATCTATTGTGATTGGAGCTGCTGGAAGAAAAGGAAGTAGAAGGATTGAGGAGATGTAGCGAAATCTAATTGTTATTTCCATTCACTACAATTCTGTTTCATTTCTTTCAGGAAACGATGAGCAGGTGATTCTCCATGATGTTGAGAGGTGAGAGAGACTAAACACATTCTAGGCTAGACCAGGTGTGTGGTTAGGTCTGACCTTTAACCCTTACGATGACCGTGTCCTGCAGGAGGGAAACTCTGAACGTGTTCCTGCACATCGACGCTGTCTACAGTTTATCTGTCAGCCCTGTGAACGACAACGTGTTCGCCAGCTCATCTGACGATGGACGAGTTCTCATCTGGGACACTCGTGAGCCGCTGCATGGAGGTACCTGTTTTCTTGGGCAAACACTTAAAACCATTGGTTTTTAGATAATATGTCTCTGAAATTAGGTAAAATGACACTACATCCTGTAAAGTGTTATAATTACGACACTAAAATCTGATTAAAAATGTCACGTCAATCTTATCAATTACAAATGTTAAGGACACGTTGAACAGTTCTGTGTAATCTGTGGAATACGGGTTTACTTCTGTGTATCAGGTCTGTTTAAGATAAAGATAATCTAAAGATTAGGTTTATTGATTGTTAAGTTTAAATTATATATATATAAAAGTTACTCAATAATCTATGCAGGTGTTAAAGTTAGAAAAAAGTTTCAGTAGGTAGTTGTCACCCTCATTAATATAACTGTGGAGTAATTAATGAGATGTTATATATTTAAAAAAGTCTTAAACAATGTAGAAATGGGAATAAAGTTGCTCAATAATTGCCCTATTAAAGTTCACAAATGAAGTCATTTGTTATCATTAGCATTTGAGTCCATCAAGTAGTCGTTGCTTTTGCTTTTGCTTTTGCTTTTGCTGTTGTTGTTGTTGTTGTTGCTGCTGCTGCTGCTGCTGTTGTTGCTGTTGCTGCTGCTCCGGCTCCGTAACAGATTTACAGCATCAGAAGCCGATTGAGATGAAATATAATATTATTGCTGATGTGATAAAAACAGGACGAGTCAGTGTCTAAAATTAACTTGCCCTCAGAGTTTGTGTCTAATGGTTTTTGATGTAAAAGTTGAGAAGCCGTTTGTTCCGAGTGTCATTGCTGTTCTGAATTGTCTTTGTGTCCTCTGGTTTAATGACCGTGTTCAGTCAGACTTGTTTATTAGGTTAAAAAAAATCTCAGTGGATCATTTTACAGGATTTCTATTCTAGATGCCGACCCCGTGACCACACTGGCCTAATTATACATTTGCATCTCAGCAGCAAATACTATCAATGACATCATGCTGTTGAAACAAAGTGTTTGGTTAAGGGCTGGGATGTTAACCTTAAATCATAAAAGATGATTTTGTGGAAACTGTTGGTCTAAAGATCATCACTTTTATTGATGATGTCACTCTTCATGTCCTCCTCCTCGTAGAGCCTTTCTGCCTGGCCAGTTACCCCTCAGCCTTTCACAGTGTGATGTTCAACCCCGTGGAGCCCCGCCTGCTGGCCACAGCCAACTCCAAAGAGGGAGTGGGATTATGGGATATCCGGAAACCCCGCAGGTCTGTCTGGTGTTTTTTTTCTCTCTTATTGTTTGACCCAGTTTTTAAGATCGACCTTTTATTAATCCCTGCAGGGACATTACTGTTTAGGACGAAGGCAATAAAGTAAACCATAGAGATAATAAAAAGCAGGGGAAGCAGTGAGTATTAATAGAAATAATAAAACATTAAAAGCTACCGAAGGACTAAAAGTAGATAAAAATAATTGTGATGCCATAAAAAATGATGTTGCTTTCTTTGCTCCACACTATAAAAGTTTGAAAAGTCACAGGAATTATTATGGCCATGGCTGGCAAAGAGGGCAAGACAGAGATACCAGTGGCTGCGAGCTGAGCAATACTGTACATGTATAACAATGCATTATAATATATGTAAATATATGTGTATATGTGTGATCTATACATATATTTATTAAATATATAATTATATACAATTCAAATGCACATGTATGTTTAAATATGTACGTATACAAATGTGTGTGTGTGTATGTAATTATACATATCGTGTGTGTATACATATATATGTGCACATACTATATATACACCTATTAGTTTATAATATATATATTTCTTATTTTCCTAATAAACAGTAAGATATTGTTTTCTTTAACCCAAAAAAGTAGAAACGATACTTGTCAGTCTTTACAAAGACGATAATTTCAAAAGTTTTATAAAATCTTTTTTTTTTGTGCTTTAGATTTTCTGTGATGAACTTTCTTTCAAAAACTGAGTAAATTTGGGTCAAAGAAAATAAAAAGAATATTTTTTTATGCAGAAGAAGGAAAATGTTTCTTTAAGTATAGCACAAATCTCCTCTTGCAACCAACACATCGTCGTCGTCGTCAAGTGGTTTATTGGCTTTTCTTTAGCTTCATCCAGTGATTTATTTCAGAAATGGAAGCCCATGTCCGTTTATTATGTTTTTATTTATGTTTTGTTCTTGTGGAAAAAAACTCTCTTCAGACTCTGCCCTCTATGCTGACGGCAGTCTGGTTTGTGTCACTAGGTGGCACTGTTGCCTTATCGTAAAACTCACTTGTCGCCTCTCTTAACAGAGGGACCATCTGAGAAAAAACAACGCTAATCTTCAAACCAATAAAATGACTCCTTGGAAACAGCGACTAAAAACCCGGCTGTGTTCGTGTGCGTCGGTGTGTTGTTGATTTACACAAACTGGTGCGAGATTAGATTTAAGTTATGAGAACACAGAGGACAACAGTTTAAATTAAACTCAGTTCTGAGTCACTTCTCCGCCACTGTTGTCTCACTGCTGTGTTTCTTCACTTTATTGTTATTTAATAGAAGACTCTCTGTTCAATATTAGTCTGAGAAATAGGTTTGTGCGCTGGGTACAGATTTGATAATAATTCAGTTAACTTTTTTTTTTTTCATTTAAGCTTCATGAATTTTTTAGCTTCTACCATCATCTCTTAATAACCCCACAGTCACTGACATCACTGAATATTTAAAATGAAGGAAACTAGTGCTAGTTAAATGAGCCTTTAAAGGTAGAAGTGTTGATCAAAGCAATTAGCTACAAGATATCAAAGCTAGCAATATATTAAATACATGTTATTCAAATGTAAAGGTAAATACTGGAGTACGTACGTCAAAGATGGACATAAAAGAGCAAAAATTATTTTTAAAAAAACTCGTAACTAGTAGAGAAAGAGCTAGCTAACTTTGATTGTTTCTCATCTCTGTTGACATGATGTGTTATTGTCCGAACTCTGATTCTCCTCCACTTTCCTTCTAATACGACATTTCTCCTTCCTTAGTTCGCTGCTACGTTATGGAGGAAACATGTCCCTTCAGAGCGCCATGAGTGTTCGCTTCAACAGTACCGGAACTCAGCTGCTGGCTCTGCGTCGGCGTCTGCCGCCCGTCCTCTACGAGCTACACTCGCGTCTTCCCAGCTTCCAGTTTGACAACCAGGGCTACTTCAACTCCTGCACCATGAAGAGCTGCTGCTTCGCTGGAGACAAAGATCAGGTTGGTCTTCACATGATCTAAACCTTAACTTAAACTCAACTGATTTTAGGTCCAGACAGATTTAGAAAATACAGACATTTTAAAGAAATGAGGTCAAATCTGTGGAAACTCTGATCTGTCTGTCCTCCTGCCTTCCACCACTGAAACCCAAGGAGATAATCAGGAACATGTGGATCATGGGTAAAAATAGAAGTTTCTGTATCAGTTACGTGTGTGAAATTGGGACTTTTGTTGGAGGAACAGCTGAGGTCTGTGCTCTTGGTCCATGGTCCTTCCATTGGTCCCGCTCAGACATGACATCATCTCCCAATTATGTTTATTATTTTAACATTATCCTCGTGTTGCTGGAGCTCTCGCTGGAGGATTTTCTACCCCAGACAGGGAGCTGGTTTAAAGGTCAGAGATTTGTGCCGTCATCATGAGGTTAGATACCTGGTATTATTTAATGATCTGATCTGATGATCAATGAACGACAAATGTCAGTTTATTTATCTCGATAATCCACATTTTTAACAAATAGCAATATTTTACTACCAACACACAGTACAATTTCTGCTACTCCTTCAACATTCAAAGATTTCTTTGGCTCCTGGTCACCATGTCTACACCATTTGTCTGTACCAGCATTGTTGTAGCTAATGTTAGCTCTGGTGGCTGTGCTCACAGGAACATGTTCTACAGTGAGGTGATACTGTAGTTCTTGGAGTAAACTGAAGGAGACCAACTGGGAACAAAACTTCTTAACTTAACTTCTTTGTGCATTGACGTCACTCTATATATTCTGTGCAATGTCCTTGTAGCTAGCAACCATACTTTAGGTACATTACCGCCACCTACAGGGCTGGGTGTGTGCTGTCACTATATAAGTCCTAGAATGCTGATGATGTGATGACATTTTTTTTTAAATATTTGTCAGTTATTGTTGTCTAGTAGAGCTGCTGCTGATGGTTTAGTTCAATGGTATTTCAGTTTTTGATTCAACAGTATTCAGAATTCCTCTCAGCTCCAACAGAGGGTGCTCTAAGAGCAGAGCCAGCAATCCTCTCTTCACTAACTGTGGACCAGCATGCCTATTTTATTATGCTGTTAGCATGCAAGAAATAACCTGCAGAAAAATAACTTGTTTGATATTTGGGGAAAGTAAAGAAGAAATTCAACATGTGTTTACGGTACAAATGTTGAAGATGTCATCCATCATAATTTTGTACTACTAAAATGACATGTGACAATTGATTTGTTTTATGCTGGTTCTGAAAGTTCAACAGCTGAAAACTGAGTTTAAAAAGTACAATAAAAAAAAAGAAAATCAGAAGAGGATTAGAGGAGCTCCATATTCATGAATGTATGAAGTGTAAAGAGTGCTCCGTCACTGTACACTAACCACTGTCATGTGTGATGACGTTGCTTGAGAAAGTCCTGACTTCACTGCAGTTCCTCCCAGTCCTGAAGACGTCTTTCATTTAGTTGTCCTTCAGGGATATTTGGGTCCAGTCTTGTGTTTTTGAATTTGTGTTCAAACAAATTTCCTCACCACAGTCCACAACCCCACTCTGTAATCTATGCACTGTATATTTTTCTGTGTGCTGTCATGCAACGAGGCCACAAAACCTTGAGCATAAATCTCTGCTATCTCCACGCTGACGGCCTCGTCAGGAGCATTAAAAGTGTGTGGTGAGAAGTCGGCCGTCTGCCAACGTCACACAGCTGCCGTCGCTGTGCTTGTTTCCACTGCTGCCTCACTTCTGTAGGAAACAGACGGCCTCAGGATTGCAGCGGTGGAGTCTTGGTTAGAGGAAACACTTCTTACAAATTTAGACGGCTTTCCTTTATTGGGCCTTTTAGCAGCTGTGTATCCAGATTATTTCAAACAACAAAACGTGAATGAAGCTCTGTAAAACCTGACACATCGTTCATGTATTACCTTTGTTGGTCTTCAGACCCTCATCGTACCAAATGAAACCTCAGCTATTGCAGGATTTTCTCAGACCTGTGTCACAGCAGAGTTGCAGAGTGGCAGTGTTCTATAGATGTTGGTGGGAAAGGGAGGGCGCGTCTTTAGGTGTGACATTCCACTGTGACGTATCCTCTGGGAACGTGAGGCCTAGCACACAGGTGTTTGAGTCCAGTGTGTGTCATGGGCTGTGGATTTAAACCGATCCGAGTTTCAGTCTGTGTTAAAGGAATAATATGCTCTTAAATCACCCACTGATGGGCCTGTCACCAGAAGTGGAACGCTGCGATATCGCTCAATAAACAAAACTATAAAAATGTTTGAAGGCTGCAGTGGATGTCTGGCTGTAGCCTGTGCTGTTAGAGCTGTCAGAATTCTGCCAGGTCCACAGGTGGTCCTGTAAAGCGATCTGAAAGGCCAGTCGGAAAATGAATAGACCAAACATTTCCCATTTAATGTTTTTTTTTTTTTAAAAAGAAAACTCTGTGCCTGTGCTGCCTGGTGTGCTGCAACCTAAACTTTTTCACAAAGTTCCACCTCAGACTGGTCCAACTTGGCTAGTGTTAGCCTAGTCTTATGTGGACCTGTGGACACGGCTGCTTTAGATTAAGCTTCATTTCTATTTCATCTGGAATGGAAGGATATACAAATGTGACTGAGCGGTGGATAAACGTCCCCACAGTGACCAGCTCAGTGTTTACAGAAGGAAATTGAAAGCATTTGTTTAAATCATTGGCACACATGGGTTTCAAAGTCTGGACTCGGTGTCAGTCAGAAAGGCAGCAGCATGCTGGTGCCATAAAACGGATGTGCATGAAGTCAGAAATATGTGCCTCCAGGTGTTTAAATGAGATTTGTAGAACATTCTGGAAATATGCTGGGGGAAAGGAAAACAAGGGATAGACGGAGAAGGAAAGAAGAGGAAATGTTTTTAAAACAACCGTAGCTGCACTGCATGAAATCCTTGTTTCTAGGACACACTGACTATTTTTGGTTAAAGTTTTACAAAACCAAGAGTGTTTTTGCACAAATACTGTAATCCTTATCTAATGTGTTGGCTGTACCTAATAACCAATCAGAAGATTCAGAGAAGGGGAGAAAGGTTTTGTTATTGATTCCACTATGACGTTTGCCAAAATACAGTATATTTAAATTATTAGAAGCTGCAACACTCGACACATTTTCTGTCGTTCTATTTGACTATGCACCTGTAGCGCTAATGATTTGGTGAAAGTGCTCCCCCTTTTGGTCTGTTTTTTTTTAAACTCTACAAACTTTGAGGTCCAGAGAAATGACATGCAAACAGAGGAAAGTTGATCAAATCCATTATTATATAGATATTTGGTCACTTTCATTTCTATATCATAATTTTCTTCAAATGACTGAGTTTTGTTACAGACCAAAATAAATTCTATTTAATTTAAAAGGTTTTAAGAAAACATGAAGAGCCAGGAAACTCAAGCTGTAGAACTGATAATAAAAGTCTCAAGTTTATGTGATTTGCCTTTTTCTCGGCACGTACAGACAGTGATGTAAGCTGCTGTGGCAGACGGATGGTTTTTCTATCTGAGTGGAACATCTGTATTTATAAAAGCAGAGATCTTCTCCTCTGTCCAAACGAATTCTCTGTGACAGGTTGGAGTGGAACCATCTGTTTCCAGAGTCTAATGACAGTGGGGATGAGGAGTGGGAGCCGCGTCAGGGTCACACTGTCATGTCATGTCGACGGCTCATTTGATCGCAAATTATGAGACATGCAGCTCCGTTAGGAGACTCCCACAGCACTGCTTACTTTTCCTTTTGCTTTACACAGTACAGAGGTAAACATTTGCTTCTTCCCTTTGTCACAGAGTTATTTAAACGTCTCTGTTTTGACCCCACAGTACATCTTGTCTGGATCAGACGATTTCAACCTCTACATGTGGAAAATCCCCAAGGATCCAGAAGCAGGTGAGTTGGAACTTGTTTATCATAACGGCATTTCTGTGTGTAGTAGACAGCAGTATAATGAGAGAACCATACAGGCAGAGAGGCAGTACAGTAGAAAACAAGCAGCAGCACAGCATCTCTACCATCAAAGGTCGAGGAAACCTAAACAGTAACAGTGAAGTACACCACCTTATCTCCATGATATGTATATGTAGATAAATATATGAGCAAGTAAGTAGAAATATATATGTATATATAAGTAGTTACATAACACAAGACTGTAGATGAATTTATGAGCAAGTAAGTAGAAATATATATATATATATAAGTAGTTACATAACACAAGGTTTGAATATATATCAGTATGGATAACAGTTTAAATATGTATAAAAATTGTCAAACGTTAAAATAAACAGTTTATTATGTATGTTAATAGATTTAAAAAGACAATTTTCTTCCTTTCCTTTGTATTCATGTCATACTGTTCATCATCATTTATGTTTTTTTTAATTTGTCATGTTCTTTTCTCAAATGGCCGTTCCTGATTTAAATTTTTATTTTTTAATTTTTCGACTAGTATTTGAATGTATCACTTCTGACGACAACAACTGATTTGGTTGTTTTTTTTCCAGCTGGTCTTTTATTGACTTGCCCTCATATTCTTAACTAATAAAAAGGACGCCTTACTGTCATTGATTAGCTAAGGCTAATGGCTAAGAATCACATTTTAAACACTGGCAGGACAACAATGGCAACAATGAAGCACCAACATCATGTCAGTGGACCAAAGTTTTTTACTTTATGAAAACACAGTTTGCATTTAGAGAGTCAGAGTCCTGTAAAACGGCTCAGCTTAAAGGTAAAGGTATAAGCGCTGTGAATTGGAATAGCTTGAAAAGTAATTCAATTTGACCTGGGAGAAAAGGCATTTATCTTGACTGCAAGACATTTTCACCGGGGTTAGGAGGTGTCCCATCTGCCCAAACCAGCTGAGAATCTTGGGTAAAAACCCGCACGAGATCTGATTACAGTGGAGGAAAACAATAAACCCAGACTGCAGTGGTTTGTAGCTGCGCTGCAGCACCTGACACATTTATGGATTTTTATTTTCCCTAGAGTTACTCACTCTGAAAGTATGTGCTCTCACTGGACATATTTGGTTTCGTACTAACGGCGTATTGAGAGGATTACGTTACCGCTCCTCAGTCGTATTTCACCCATTGTGTTTTCACTGGTCCTGACTTGGGCTAAAGGATTGTGGCAGTTCTGTTTGTTGTCATCATCATCATCATCATCATCACCATCATCATCATCATCATCATCATCATCATCATCACTGCAGCTCTGACTGTGTCTCATACAAAATAGAAACCACACTGTGTTTTTCTCCCTGCAGGGGGCCCCGGTCGTGTGGTAAACGGGGCTTTCATGGTGCTGAAAGGTCACCGCTCCATAGTGAACCAGGTTCGATTCAACCCTCACACCTACATGATCTGCTCCTCAGGGGTGGAGAAAGTCATCAAGGTCAGTAGAGGAACCACTCGTTCATTCATTCATTCATTTTTCTACTTAATCCTGTCGTTGGCGAGTTCTCCATCACAGGGCCACATATTGAGACCCTTCTAATGACTAGATACAGTATACGACTGCTTGGGTTCACGCTAATACAGTGTACTCCTGTCTTTATTCGACTTGGTCCAAGTTTGAAAGCTAAGTGGCTAATTCACAGAGCCGTTGAGTGATTAACAGAGCCTTTTGTCGTGAGGAGCTGCTGCAGACCCAAGTCAGCAGAAAAGTTCAGTGGAAAACACACAGACAGCTGTGAGACTGTCCAGTCCTCAGTGCAGTGGACATCCACATCAGTGTCGCGTCTCAAAGTCAAATAACCTGACAGTTTTTTTTTACCACTTGAGGACAAATGAATGAGGAATGATGGCAGAGAAAAGTGTGTTTTAACAGAAAGGACAGAGGCTTAGAGGTGAGTCACACTGAGTCAATTCTTCTCCTGCTGCTGCTGCAGATTAATGGAGTCATTAAGGAAATTGTCCCTTAAGTGGACCGTCAAGCATCTGACTGACTGCGACCACACTTGTTGAGGCAGTAGATGTGCCCTTAAGTGAAACATTGATCTCCTGTGACACCGCTGCAGCCGCGGTGCGAGCTCCCTCTCTCTTTCCCCCCCGTAGAGTTGGGTATAAACAAAGATGGATTTCCTTTATCACTGACTTCTTCCTGTGAAAACTGGGTCACACACAGACAGGATGGGACGCTCTGGGAGTATTTCTGAAAGAGAGAAAAAAAAAAAGCCTGAGCTGTGATCTTCTGCCAGGAGTTTCTCAGTGCTTGGAGTTTCACTTAGACCTAATCAGAAGAAGCTGTGAGAGTGATTCTCTGCTGACAGAACTGTTAATTATATTTTGTCAAGGATAAAAAAAAATACAACATTTTTAATAAAACACAGCGGGCAATCGTATGACTCCTCTTTTTCCCCAGTTTTGATTTTATGCATAAATTCAACATCTCCACAGTTGTATCCACTACTTACCTCATCAGTGAACTGAACTGATTCTTTGGCAAAAACAACTTTTAATGCACTGAAACACACACACCACAGTTCCACCTAACACTATATATTCAGCTTAAACACCAATCAGGTTTTATTTGTCGCACATTTGAACTGATGTGACGGTGAGGTGCTGCTGGAATTTCCTTTTTTATTCCAACCTTTCTGTCCTGGTCCAGACAGAATCACTGTGGAAAGCAGTTGTTCCTGTGGCTGTTGACAAAGCCTTAGATTCTCTTTGTGTCAGTGCAGTAACAGGAGCTCCATGTTTTGTACATGTCACTGTACAGAGTGAAAGGTGATCCAGGCCTGAACTCTACATTGGAATAATCAATACCAGGGACATTTTCACACTTTCACAGACCTCCACTCTCCACTGGCTCCTGTTTATTCAACCACTCTGATGTGTTTAAGTCACAGTTCACGAAGCAGATTTTAAAACAACCTTTGTTGACATCTGCCTGACTCTTTCTCCTCCCTTCCAGATGTGGAGTCCGTACCAGCAGCCTGAGAGTCTTGGCGACCTGGAGGGCCGAGTGGAGGACAAGTCCCGCAGCCTCTACACTCATGAGGAGTACATCAGCCTGGTGCTGAACAGTGGCAGCGGCCTGTCCCATGACTACGTCAGCCAGTCTATACAGGAAGACCCTCGTATGATGGCTTTCTTTGACTCCCTGGTGCGCAGAGAGATCGAGGGCTGGAGCTCCGACTCTGACAGCGACCTGAGTGAGGAGGCCATCATGCAGCTTCACGCGCGGGGACGTCGATCCACCCGGCCCGTAGCCACAGCACCTCCAGCTGCTTCAGCGTCTGTGAACCACAGTGACTCTGAGAGCTCTTCTTCGTCCTGCTCTTTGGCTCCGCCCGAAGCCTCAGGAGGGGAGGATCAGTCCAGAGCAGAAGGCGGAACTGAAGTGGAACGACCCAGGAGACGTAGCAGGTTCCCGTGGAATCAGTCTGGGTTCCTCCTGAACGAAGACTCCGACTCCAGCGAGTTTTGGTTGGACCCCATGCCCCGGCCTCGATCCCCGAGTCCTAGGGACAACTCCACCATTTCTAGCCCCGCCTCTTCTCCTTCACTTCCTGTCGGAGCCTCCAGCTCTTCCACGTCCACTTCTAGTTCCAGCAGCGACGATGAAGAGAGACGCAGCGCCGTCAGGCGGCGCAACGTCGTTAGGCGTCACCGTATGAATGTCGTGTCCAGAGCGGGAGACCGACCTGAGCCTGTGCAGGCTCTGTTTTCAGCAGTAGACTCCTGCAGTTACCCGTCGATCGCAATCACCGACCCCTCTTCTTCCTCGTCAGGAGACGAACGAAAGCCTCAAAGTAGCAACAACAAGGAGGAGCAGGAGGAGGACATCGATACTTGTCTGAGTCCTTCTGAGTTTGTGTGTTTGAGCCCAGACCTGTCCCCTGAGAGTCAGGACAATGAGGAAGGATTTGACAGAACTGAGGTGAGGAGACGTTCAACTGCGTCTCCTCGGTCGTTGGACGGACACAGGACTGGAGGAGGAGCTGCTCCAGAGCCGGCTTTGGACAGTTCTGACGGAGGAGAGGAGTGTAACGCCCCGGCAGCTGCAGACTGTAACTCCCAGAATGGACGCAGCCCCGGAGTGAATGGGCAGCACAGGACTGTGGCATCACACGGGAGCGAGAACCGCAGCATCTCCTCGGACTCTGAGGCAGAGACTGGAGACGGGCCTGAAGACCGGAGGTCATGGAGAGAAAAGCGCTCAGCACAGAACGCTCTAAAACGGACTCACGTTGGATCAGAAGAAGCCGAAGCAGGCTGCTCGCCTTCAGAGAAGAAGATAAAAACATAACGACACTCGTTTCACCTCACTGAGGAAGTGGGTTTCTGAGGGATTTTACAACTGGGGTCTTTCATTGTGTGACAATGCAACGCTGTTGAGTAAGAGATGTTCAACAAAGGAAAAGTTCAGAACAGTATCGTCATCGTCCTTTAGGTCAAACCACAGGTGACTTTAAAATATCAAAGAAAGAGCGAAATGTCATTGATAACAATGGTATTTTAATTGAAATGCATTTATTTTTATGCAGAGTCAGTGTTAATTTTTTTTTTCTCAGCCATGTTTCATTGAAAAAAACAAAATGTCCATTCAGGATTCTAAAGCTTCTCCCAAACAGTTACTAAAAAAAAAGTCTTATTAAAGAAAGAAGCATTTTTGATTTCTACACTTTCACACTGAGCTTTAGTCTGAACAGCCTTAGTTTATTTTGAGAAGATTCTTCTTCAGGTGTTTTATGGGTTCCATAAAAAATTTAATTTTGAGAAGATTCTTCTTCAGGTGCCCCCTGTGTTTTATGGGTTCCATAAAAAATTTAAAGAGGAAATCCAACAACTTCAAGCACAGAGTGTTTGTGTTTGATTCCTGTGAAGTAGGAGTCGTCCTTCTGTTTGTAGTTGTGGCCAGGTTGTTACAGAGCTAAACACTGAGGGCAAACTGTAAGATTCTGCTTTTTCACATGGATCACAAAACATTACATTGTCAGGTATTAAGAAAAGTCTGCAAAGACGGACAGGACCATCTCTGGTTGCTGTCCAGATCATAGTTATTGGAGGTGTAGCTGTTTAGCAGCAGCCAACAAGTGGGAAGAGGTGTAGGATGGCCAGACATCAGAGTAATTCTTAGCTTCTCCAACCGCACTGTCAGCAGAAAAGTCTCAAAAGTATTAATCGTCTCCACTGTAAGCAGAAAAGTCTCAAAAGTATTAATCGTTGAGGTAAAAAAATAATAGTAACTTCTGGGGAGGATTCTCCAAGAAAATCATCAGCATCTGAGTGGACTTACCAGCACAATTGCACTGGTCCTGCTGCAAAGCACAAGTAACATTTTCAGCATGAGAAAAAGTGAAAATCAAGTTAAAGGATTAAGTGGAGAGCCCCCTATAGGTTTGACATTGTAACAGCCAGGCTACATTCAAAAACAACTACATCAATAACCAACAATTGTTGTGAGTATTTGTTGAACAACAGATGGATTTCTACCTTCAGGACCGACGTATGTTCAAGTTGTGCAATTGAAATGATGAGTTTTCATTGTCTCCGACAATAATACAGTTCTGTTTTTCAACACTTTGTGTCATTATCTAGCCCTTAGTTCCAGTTCAAGCCAGTTTGCTTTGTTTTGCTGCAAATAAAGACAGATTTGATCCTCAGTAACCAGACCACATCATCTTTGCTCGGCCGCTGCTCTCACCGTGATCGATGACACTGTAGTCCATATCTACAATATACGTGGATACAGGGGAAGAGAAGTGTCGTGATGTTGCTGGTTTTGGGTCCCTCGGTATCCCATCAAGTTACCATGGCAACACTACCAGAGTCTGTGACCCTGGGGAGCTGAGTCTATTTTTTTTTTTTATTATTAGGAGTTAAGACACTTGAGAACAGGAACCTTTTTACAATCTACATTCAGTATCACATTCCATCTGTCACACAATTACGGTATATAATATTATATTTTTACATTATATAATAATATATAATGATTATATATAATCATGTATACAGTAGAAATATGGTGCATCTTGATGAATGAAGAGCAGGCTCACAGTCTTCCTCATCAGATCTGCCCTTATCCTTCGTGGCTCAAGTTTCCTATCAACCTCAACAGTGAATAATTGCAGATGAACAGGAGCAGTTTTCCGCAGCTACAGTTTAACCGACAGTATCTTACTTGTCCAAATCCATGGCCTCATGAGCCTCTGAGGAAACCATCCATCCCCAGTCCACGTCCTCTGTCAGACTCCAGCAGCAGCAGCCAGTAAACCATTACAAAAGAAAAACATCTCCCAGCATCCTCGGCCTCATGAGCTGCTGGTAATCTGAGGGCGTCCAGACATGTAGTTGGCGGAGTTATCGAGCTGTTTGTACAGCTCTGCTGTCAAAATAATTTCCTCCACGTCTTAGAAGTTCTCTGTGTGGCTGTCACTTTATCTACAGGATGTAGACACCCTTCGTTTCACCCTCACACACACAAGGCTCCCCCTGGGAGCAGCGCTCACGTCGGGATATTGTACACGTTAGGGTTGTTTGCTTTTGGCCTGGTGTGTGTGTGTGTGTGTCAGACTGCTTCTGGTTTAATGATTGATTACCTGAAAATTCAGAGTCTGTACACCAGCTGTAACATCCTTCAAAATCACAAAACGATGGATTTTATTTTTTTCTTTTTCCATCATTTTTAGTCCCTTCTGTCTCTGAGGGTTTGATTGTGTTTGTCTGCCACCGTCGGTCACGGCTAAAGCTAAACAATGGAGTTTTTATCAGTATTTGTTCAGCAGCGGTGAACAGTTTCTGTGCTCTTTACCTCCCTTCTACTCTCGGTCACGTTCTCCACCGGGAGGAGTCCAGAGCAACCACAGTCTTTGAGACATTTTACTGGAGCAGAGGAGAAGAGTTTGTCAGATACACCACACTGGTTTGGGAGGAGACAGTATGGCTTTTTAATTTCCTTAAAAGCTCTAAAAATTGTTTCTTCCCTCACTCTGCTTCTCTCCCTCTCTCTCTGGAGTCCTGTGGTCGGACATTCACTCTGGGTTTTTTGCATCACTTCTGTAATTTTTACCATCAAGATTACTGAGGATATTTGCATTATTTTAAAAACAAAAAAAATGTCCCTTTCCCACGCAATTTAGGAAGGATCTGCACTGACCGTAATGGAACATCCTCAACAACCAGACCACTCTACCTAAAAGGTGTGACTGTTTCTCTACATCAGTGTTTTTTACTCACAATTGACTTGATCAGTATAAATCCTTGGCCTGTTTAGTTGAACACAACACTGTTATACTCACAGGAATTGATGAAAGACTTGCTCTTTTTTAGCTTCTATAGCCATCAGTTCCTCCTGTCATTGTTGCGTTGACAAACAGAGACAAATTATTTGCAGTAAAATAAACAAGTTAATGTTTTTGGACCAATCTGACTTTTCAGGGAATGCAAATGTTTTTTGTTTTTTTTTTATCAATCGAGGCTAATTCAGCCCTCTAGCCCGCCCTGGTTCGATCTAGGAGTTCAACCTGTGACTGTCACCTAACAAACCAGAACCCCTCCATATGCTAGGTCCAATTAATAAATGCTAGGTGACTCAGCTTTTACAGTCCCAACAGCAGGTCTGGAGCTGAGGTTATGGTGTGGTAAATGGTCCCCATTGTTCTTAAAGGGTTTTTGTCTGCCCAGGATGAAGAATCCCTCTGGGCTATTTCACCGACCAATCAGTTCACACACAATGTTCTGAGTAGATCTAGAGACTTTCTACTTTGGTAACATCATAAGATACCGGGTCAGTAAGGCCCTAAAACAACAACGTTTCGACTAAATTGGGTTTCAGTCAAGGTTACAGTCTGGAATTTCATGTTCTAGCTTCAGGTTCCTTCCTGTGTTTAACCACAGTCCTACCACAGAGTTGTGCTTCGTTTTCTAAAACTCTCCTCTTAAGGGTGTTTACATTCCTCATCCTGTCCCTACATCATGTATGTCTTTACCCTCTGATCCCAGCTGGGGCAGGCTTGACCACAAATCCAAACAGATGCTCATTTAACCAGGATTTAGAGGCTACACTGCAGGATCCCATACATGGCTGGGCTCGAAAAGCAAGGACACCTCCTGTCAGAATTCCCCTCCCGACATGACTGGAATACCTTGGGAACTGGCCAGAGACCAGACAGAGTTTCCGTACCAGCTTCTTCACATGACCCATTTGTTTTACCAAGCAGAGCTGGACTTTTACACACCACTGATTCATCGCACGGTACTGTCGGATTCTGATGCACTGACATCAAGTCACAGGACGCAGAGAAATTCCCTGTTCTGTGCCCAGTCTGGAGCGTGCCATCAGGATGGCTCGGCACGTTTCAGTGGTTAATTATAATGGGTTAATCCAAGTGATTAATAGGCCGTCCTCCGCAGCTCTCAGAGCATCAGGCTCTTCTCTCAGCTAGGCAATTAGCGCCGTGCTTCCTGCTCTGTAGGCTGGTTTTATTTATTTATTTTTAGTTTTCAGGCTGATGTGCACCCTGTGGGCTGGAGATGAAGCTGTGGAAAATGAATGGAACGGATAAATGATGTATAAAACTCGTTTAAAAAGCCCTTTTTAGCCACAGTAGCACCATCAACAACTCCAGTGCTTGAGGGCTGTCAGCCTGTGGGTCACTCGTTTATTTTATCACTCATTCATTTTAGACCACATTACACTGATGAGACCCAAGATCTTTGATTTTAACCACAAGAGGGCGGTAAAATTAATTTATAATTTTAACTCTGATTGTCCTCTATTTTATCAATACCCGGGTTTGTTTATTGTTTGGTTTTTTAAAAGAATCATTAATTATGCATTGTAGCTGATATCTGGGATCCAGAAGGTTAGCGAGAATGTAGTCCACAAATCTTTGATCCATTGTATAAGCAGAGAAACTTAAACTTAAACTATCCACATCTGGTATCCAAACTCTGCTGGACGAGACATATTTCAGTGATCTGCATGTGACTAACCTTTTTTTTGGACATTAGCATAAGAGCAAAAACTTCTAGACAGCATCCGAAACCCAAAATGTGGGCCACGATTTTCACACAAATCATGGGGTCTACACCTCTTCTTTAAAATGTAGATTCCTCATAGGCCAATCAAGACAGTTGTGTGGGCAACATCAGGGATCAAGAATGTGGGTCTCTTAGATCACATTGAATTTTGTAAATTTGTTTAATTTCAAATTGTCATTTTTGTTCACCCTAGATTAATGAGACAAACCTCTGCGACCTACGTCTGATGTCTAAAATGTGGCCCAAACTGTGCCACACTTTTACCTTATCATGACCAAATGTGTGGTTGGTTTGTGTAATCCAAAATGTGGGTCAAATCTTTCATACAAATTGTGTGTGTTTTTTTCTCTAATATGTGGCCCACATTCCTTTCTGTGGAACAGAAACAGACCAAGTTGGGCCCCTTCAACATTTCTTCTCAACCCCCAGTACCCACACTGTGAGTCTCATTCTTCTGAAACAATGATGGAATTGAAAACTGAAATATCTGGTCCACTTCTGGTATTCAAAATGTGGACCATTTCTGTTGTCTACATTTGCTGTTCACAATACAAAGTCTTCTGACCCAGTCTTGACCAAACACACTTGTGCAACCCACGTTGGATATCTACTGTGAAATGTGTGCCAAATACCCGTGGTTCCAGCTCAGACTGGCAAAAGGTTAACATTTTGTACGTGGAATGTGAGTGACGTTCATATGTCCCTGTCAAATTTGGACTATACCCAAAATGTGGGTCACATTTTTGTTGCTCTGCTCTGGCCCAGGGACGTTTCCTGCCTCTACTTCTACACATAGGAATAAAAGATATTCATTTTTGGGATTAAAGGAGAACTTCTTATAGTTTGGTACTTTTATTTGTACTTGACTTTGTTGAAGTACTACTATAGTACAGTACACATGTTACTGCAGCTGCAGACCTCAGGTCATTGACAAAGAACTGTTTGCTCTTCCCAATATATGAAAGCATACACAGGTCTTCCTGCCTTGTAAGGTAAACCTACAGGACTCTTTCCATTCTCTCTCTCTCTCTCTCTCTCTCTCTCCCTTACACACACACATATATACAGTAAAACACACACACACACCGCCTGAGAGCAGGAAAGATGCCGACATGGGATAGCCCTGCTGACAGTCAGGAGAAAGTGGAGCGCTCTTCCATATATGGACAAACTTCCAGCGGTGGATGTTTGGGAAAGTGATGTCACAGACTGGGAGCAGCAGAGCAGCAGAGCAGCAGACTGCCAGCTCACCTCCTGCTGCTCGCCCTGAGCGAGCCTGCTGGGACACACAGAGAGAAAGAGAGAGAGAGAGGTGGACCAATGAAACTGAAGTCTACTGTATGCCATCATCAGAATACGATCCTTAAAAAGTCTGATGGCTCTTCTTCTTCTTCTTCTTCTTCTTTTTCTTCTTCTCCTTCTTCTCCTTCTTCTTCTTCTTCTTCTTCTTCTTCTTCTTCTTCTTCTTCTTCTTCTTCTTCTTCTTCTTCTTCTTCTTCTTCTTCTTCTTCTTCTTCTTCTTCTTCTTCTTCTTCTTCTTCTTCTTCTTCTTCTTCTTCTTCTTCTTCTTCTTCTTCTTCTTCTTCTTCTTCTTCTTCTTCTTCTTCTTCTTCTTCTCCTTAAAACAACAACTCTGTTACAGAACTCAAACGTCGTCTCCATGCAGTTTTTTTTAATAAACAAAAGACTGAAGCACATGTGATGAAATGTTCTACCTGGCCAACTTTCAAGACTTATTATGGACCATTTCTGGCCCATAATGTGGGCCACTCTTCAGCAATAATGGACCAAATAACCCTCTCTGTGGTGTACCAAAATATGGACCACAAAAGATTTTCTGGTTTATCGTTGGGTCAAAACAATGTGGCCAACTCACTGGATGCTAGTTTTCAGTGCATCATATACCACACAAAACACAAACAAGTGTGGCCTACATTCTGAATACCAGATCTGAACCAGACAAGTTTGTGTGGGATGTGGCCCACATACATTTTCTCTTCTGTAGATAACCATAGATGATTACCAACAAGTTTATCTGGTCTACCTAGATGTCAGAACACCGAACCAAAACATATGACCCATATTCTGGGCATCAGATGTTTACTAGGTTGACCAATCGAGTTTGTCTGGTCCAATGTGACCCATTTTCTTGCTACCAGATGGTTACTACAGTAGGAAGGTTTACAGGTTTGTCTGTTTTGACATAGGGCCAGAAAAGTGTGGTCCACTATCTGGGTACCAGACCATGATCTCCACGACCGTTCGTCTACTGACATGTGATGGGTTGGTGCCCACACTGACCTTTGGAGATAACATATATGGGTCAAACCTGCAAAATCTGGCTGGATGATGACATCACCTTGTCTCCATCTAAACCAGACATGGGCAAACTACGGCCCGGGGGCCAGATGCGGCCTGTTGGGCTGTTTAATCTGGCCCACCAGACTTGTCCAAATGATATCATATTTATTTATAGTATAATTTTACTTCTGCCTTTTCTCTACAGTTTCAACATTTCCCGACTAAATGACATAGAAAAGTCTAAAAGCATATTAGCATGTTAGCCTTTATGCCAGACTTGTACGTGTCATTATCTTAGTTCACACGAACGCTCCATCTGATCAGGACCCACTGATCTGAACCTTTGCACATTTTCTTTTTAGTCTGAGGTTTTAATTTGTGCAGATTGACTCTAATAGTGTGCGTTAAGATGTTAAGATTTTTAAAGCTAACCATACAAATCTCCTCATCTCTCACCACGTCACTGCAGCCAGGTTCACTTCCCTGCTGAGTCCAGATGAGTCTGACTGGGTCACTGGAGGTTATTTCACCTCCATCCACTCAAACTCCCCGCTCTCTTTGGCATTTAGCCGTGTCTGAGCCGACAGATTTCCCTCCTCTTCACCTCTGCCTTCACCCTGTTGCTTCTCTCAGCAGTGAGCTCATCAATAAATGAGAGTCTGCTCGTCCACTGACAGCAGTAAATGCCAGCGCCACAGCAGAGAGCCCAGCTCCAGGTTTGACAGATGAGGCGGTGGCTTCACTTCAGAGACACTCTCTCTCTTGTCACCACGGTCGCCTCCCTTTATCATTTTGATGCAGTGACATTTGTGTTCCGTGGGTCCTTAGAAACTGGCTTCAACACCTAAACCATTATCATTGTTTGCTTGTTGGACTGTGGCCTGACATTTCTGTCTGTGAGGTTTCCAGGTGTCGGCGTCTGAGCGGGAATCCTCGGAGGTCGGGATCATAAACTCTGCTCCTTGTTTTTGTTGACAGGGAAACACGTCTGCCTCCGTCCTCCAGGACTTCTCTGGTTGGTTGATCAGACACAGGTTGGCTCCTGGTCAGCATACCAATGGTTTTCAGCTCAGCCACAGAACCTGTGCCTTTGACGTCTGTGCAAGTCCAAAGGTGAATGAGGTCAATTCTTACCTAATGTTTGAAGTATTATCCACAGCAGTTTAGGGTGTTTTTTTAATCATCAAAGTGACCAATCAACCTAACCCTTCAGGTTATCAGAATGTGGATGAAACCTCGAAAAAACCCACACAGAAACTTCATACAGAAAGACTATGAGTGTGTGTGTTTTTTCTTTTTTAAATATTTTGCTGTAACACAAGAGCACTTTCACTGTGTGGACACACGAGTTCATGCAATATTATCTTTATTGCGCAATATTGTCTTTATTGTGTAACATGCCTTATTGTTATTAATGTGAAATGTTGTTCAATATAGATTTTATTTATGTCATTTTTAACTATTTAACATCAATAAAGTATATTCTTTTCTATTATCATTTTATATCAAATGTACAGTTTAGTCTTTATTATGCAGTATGGCAGATACTCACACGTACAAATGTTGTTGTAGTACATTTGTGAGTCATCGGCTAAATATTTGAACTATGTGTCATACTTTCTGTGCGCGTACATATTTTGGCCCGCGGACCTCGGCTTGTCCACCACCGTTGCTTTTATTTCCCTAAAACCCCTCAGTCAGATTCAGTCAAGCTTGGGCGGTAAGCCTTGACACTGACAGCTCTGCCAGCCAATCAGTTCCAAGGAAGGGCGTGTCCTGTGGGCTGATCCAAACCAATCAGATCCGTCCTTCACTTCAGTTATCGATTCAATTTGTCTGGAGTAAAGTTTTATGCCAGTCCTCGACATTTTGGACCTGCCTTCAAAACCTCGGGCTAACCAGAGAGCGAGACGAGGGAGAGAGAGCGAGGAACAGAGAGAGAGAGAGAGAGAGACGGGGGAGGACCGTTAATTTTATCCGCTCAAACTCGCGCACACTCACGCAGACCGTGTCCGTGTTGAATGCGTGGAGAAGGAGGAGGAGGAGAGATCGGCAGAGTGAGCTGATCCCGATCCTGCTGTTCTACCAACACCACTGCGACCAGAAGCACAGAGAGGACGGGAGCACGGCGGCGGCGGCGCCTTTTTCTCGAACTATTCATCTAAATAAACAGCTAAAAGATCATTATATCATAGAAGAAGAAGTGTTTTTATATGTATTCAACGGCACGCCTGGATAACATGGACCAATATGACGACGACACCGTCTACATGCAGCAGGAGGATGACTGGGACCGGGATATGCTCCTGGATCCTGCCTGGGAGAAGCAGCAGAGAAAGGTGAGACTCTTCCTGCACTTTTCCTTTCCTTCCCACCTCCTCCTCCAACAACCTCCTTCCTTCCTTCCGCGCGGAGGTGTGCGGAAGTGCAGCCGTGGCTCGTCACACACACACACACACACACACCTCATCCACGCTCATTTTCGCCGTTTTTGTGTGTGTTATTTCACAGCAGATGAGCAGCTGATCGATCAGCACTGACAGCTGATCGATCAGTACTGACAGCTGATCGATCAGCTGCTGTCCGTCACCTGGACTGACTCTGCTGTGTTCGCTGCAGAAGAAGCTGCTCAAACTTTTTGCTGTTGTTGTTTTTTTTTTTTGTTTTGTTTGTACGTGTCTGCTCTTGTATCCTGTGCTGTGTTATGAAATATCCTGTAGCCATGGCTGCAGCAGCTACAGTACATGGAGGAGGAGGAGGAGGAGGAGGAGGAAGAGGAGAGAAGGAGGCGGCCCCCTCATTATCTTTGCAGAAGGAGGACGTAGAGGAGTAGAGGAGGGGAGGGGGGAGGGGCTGCAGAGAGGAGGGGGATCAGACAGAAAACAATTAATACCTGGACAGACTTCCAGAGCAACAGATGTCAGCCATGCGCCTGAGTGCATATGGTGTCAGAGTGTGTCAGTGACACTGGTCACAACGGTCGTCGTCAGGATGTTTGGGGGGGAGTGAGTGCGTGGGGGGGGGGTCATGAAACTTTAAGGGGTCTCCTGAGGGTCACGGTGTGATCCAGGATTAGATCTGATGTTAGGAGTTTAAATGAGAGTTAAGAATCTAAGGCGCAGAGCACCAGCTGTGCGTCTGTTGCATGTTTTACGGGATGTTTTTACAGTTTTCATTCATTCCTCCTTTACCGTATTAACCTGTTGAATTGGGCGCACGGCGCTGGAGCCAAGGCTGGTAGTCATTGGACGAGGGCGGGGTGACATCCTGGGCATTTCGTCACATTTTTTCCTGGACTGTGGGTGGGGTAGAAAACAACATCGACAACTAGACAGAGACAGACGATCGAACCATTAATGTTCTTGGCGTAAGGCACAAGCGCTAACCACTTCACCACAGTGTAGACACTCCAATTTTGACATTTAATGGACAATGGATGACTGAGATAAGGTCTTACATCAGGTTAGGGTACATTATTTACGGTAACTAAACTACAGTATTGGTTACTTCATTCAAGATAAATCTAGTCTATGGGTTTTTATTGGTTATTGGTTACTTCATTCAAGATAAATCTTGTGTTGGTAACTTCTTTTGTAAGGCTACACCATGAGTTTAGTTTTATTAGTTTAAGATATGATTTTAACTATTAGGGATCATGTTGATGGCCGACGATCTTCTTAGACCTTAACATCTAAGTCATAGCAAAAAACACAAACCTGTTGTTGTGTGTTCTTCTCCAAAGAAACCGTACGGTGTAGGGTTGGACAATAAGGATTTGGTACGACTCTATACGGTTTAGAGTTGGACAATAAGGATTTGGTACGACTCACTGCAGAATCGTGCAACAGAATCCCAGACCTGTGGATCAGAACCACCAGTGTCTGGTTTGACTTGTCTTAGAACTAACGATGAGCTGTTTGAAGGTCTGGTTTGAGGATTTGGTCTGGTGTCCAGGATTTAGATTGGTTTTTATCTTGGACAACTTCAACAACCTCAAGAACACTTTTTGTGTGTAAAAAAACTACCCATAATTCAGAGCCATTGTTCTGAGAACTTCAGGGAAGAAGAGAGGAGAAGATAAAGTACAGAGGTTCCATCAGAATACAGTGAAAGGAAAGTTTTATTTAGTTGGTTCAACTAAAGACTGTATGCACTTGGATGTTTATAGGACCAGTAGGTGTCACAGAAAACAAAGCCTGGTTTAGTTTATGAGGCTGTGGATTAAGTTAGGATAAAGATGAGATTCAATGGGTTAAGGTGAGAAATAAATAAATAAAAAAAAGAAATGATGGTGAGAAATAACCGATATAATGATAACTAATAATATCTGGGAGCGTTATCGTCCCAGCTCTGTCAGGATGAACTCTGGGGTCAGAGTGTCACTGTCTTAATTGTGAGGTCATGTAATGAGGTCCCCAGAACATTCAGGGGTCTTAGAGTGGGTGATTAAAGACTTGGGTTAGGTCAGTCAGTGTTCTGTTTCTTTTATGGTTTAAATGTTTAAATGCTTCTCATTTTTTTGGAACAGAAATGAATATTTCTGCTTCTTTCTCAACTTCCTTGACTGTTTCTTCACTTGTGTCTCTGTTGTCCTATTTTAACCATGTTGATGGGTGTGACCGGGGTTACACTCATGCACCTAACACGTCCATACATTCAGTGCCATCCAGTCCAGCTCTTCTTCATATCGGTCTCCCAGCTGCTGCTGCTGCTGCTGCTGCTGCTGCTGCTGCTGCTGCTGCTGCTGCTGCTCGCTCCAGACTGGCTGTGAATGGTCTGTTCTGGTTTAAGAAGAAGTGCTACTATTTTTTCCCCTCCTTCTCCTCCTTCTCCTCCTCCTCTACTCCAGAGTGTGAGGAAAAAAAATGTGGAAGGAAAAAAAAAGAAAAAAAAGAAAGGCGCTGTGGAATCTGAGTAAGCGTTGTGGTTTGGGCTGGGCTTGTATGGAGCGAGCGTGCCCAAAAATGGTAATAATCAGCCCCGCTCGCTTTCTGCTGTTGGAAAACTTTTTCCCCCAAGTTTCTCCCTTCTCTCCCTCTCTTCCTCTCTCTGTGACTCTGCTGCTCTGCTCAGACAGTATGTGCTCCCTGTTTCCTGGATTATGTCATCGCCGGCCTGCTACTGGTCAAAAGCAAATAAAGGGAAATAAAGGAGAGAGGTATGCAGATATGAGGTCAGGTGTTAGCAGCAGCAGCAGCAGCAGCAGCAGCAGAAAGTATGTGAGGTCCTAAAGCCTTGTTGTAAGACTTGGTCTCAGAAACCCAATAACCTAGTGTTGTGAATAAGAAGAGAGTTTTTTTTTTGTTTTAATCCAAAGCAGTTCTGTAGTTTGACAGAACAGGGTTTTCTACACTTTGTCATTTATCCCTTTAGATGCAAAGTTATTATTACAAGTGCAATTCAACATGGTCACACAGGTGACAAGACAACACTTTGTGTTTCTGCGGCTACAGTGGGAGGCAGTTATCAGAAGTCCATGATGTCATAGCTCTGTCTGTGGACTGATCTGTCTGTGGATCTGTCTGTGGATCTGTCTGTGGATCTGTCTGTGGATCTGTCTGTGGATCTGTCTGTGGATCTGTCTGTGGATCTGTCTGTGGATCTGTCTGTGGATCTGTCTGTGGATCTGTCTCCTCTGTGCTTTTCCTCTGTAAAGAACAGAGTTGGGCTCCATTAGTCAGATGTACGCCTGCTCCCGTCGACAACTGTGACGTCTGCCTCACCTGAGCAATGGAAAAGTCAGATGAAGTGTGACATGACCACTAGGGCAGAGGTGACTTTGAGAATGTATTTGTGTCAGCGTGAACAGCCGTCCATAAATAATCAGATACGGGTCACATGTTGCGGTTAAACTTAATTGGGTTTAATTGGGCCTTCCATTCATGCGTTGCATCTGTAATTTACATTTAAATGTCAAATAATGCGTTTTCACAGGGAGAATTGTCAGAAAAGTGGTGAAGAAAACCATGTGCAGGGTCAGGGTGTGAAGCAGTGAGGATTACTGCAAGCTTGGCCTTCTTCATATTCAATGAGTATTAATAACTGTGGAGGCTCAGCTCAATAGGCTGCTGAGGTCATAAATACATAAATACAAGATATACTGTCCACACACAAAAATCATTTGTTAATATTTATACCGCAACATATGCTTTCAATTTAATTAAATATGAGTATATAAATAAATATAAATATTTGTATAAATATAATTTCAGTTTTATTCAACTCCTATTACAACAGTTGTTGTTGAAGTATGAGGCGTATGAAATAAGGTGAACTGGCTCAACTTGATGAGGATTGGAAGGATTTGTTCAACCTACAGGGAGAAAGAAGAATAACTCCTGTAAGAACAAGGTTGAAGGTTCTGGTTCTGCTATAACTGGGCTAACTTTTAGCCATTTCATGCTTAACATGGCTAACTAAGGCTAATGTTAAAATTCTTTTTACTATATTTTTCAGCCAAATGTTCGCTGTTTTTAGAAATATTAAAAAATGTTGGCAGTGACTGTAGCCGTAAAATATGCTTTTACATATGAACGTTTGGACTAAGACGATAAAACAGAGCCGAACATGTTGAGTTCAGGGCCAATTTAGTGATTCACGTTGGTGCACATCACTCCTGCATTACAGGGAGTGCTTTAAATATTTTCCAATCCAGTGCAAGTCTTAACCTGAACCCCCTCCTGACCCCCCCCAACCCTCATTCTGCCCCCGAGATACCAGGGCACTGGCTGCCTTTCTCCTATCTCTGAATCAGAATAAGCGTAGATCCAGGTGTGTCAGACTCACAGCACCAGAGGACGCTTAAAGCTGCAGCCGAACATGAGGACATTCATGGACATCTACACCCCGTCTCATCTCTGACATTAACACACACACACACACACACACGTGTATTTGTAGTTTGACGTTATTATCGGCTTAAAGCAAAATGAATGAAGTTGGAGTTCAGGTGTTAGCAGAGAAGCTAATTTGTCCAAGGTTTTTTTATCCTTATAAGGATAAAAGAAACCTCCTGTCATTCCAGTCTGGAATCCTCCTACTTCCCATCTCCCACACCCCAACCTCTGGATTCCCAAACCACACCCACATTCCGGTGCTCCGACTCAACAAGCCCAGGTCAGAGATAACATCCTGATCTCTTCACTTTTACCCAAAGACTTCAAGACCTGGAGTCTGATTAGTTCAGTCAGCCATGACCATCGTCAGCTCCTTCCACAGTGAAGGATCGAGGACAGAGTTTCTGTGGATTTGGAATGATTGTTCTGACTGATATGACAGAACTGTTCTCCTGTGTGACACAGCTTACAGTAACTGCCCTGCAGCAAATTAGTCATCAGCT